TTTCCTTCAAATGGCAAGTTGGTCAACATCCGTACGTTATGGGTCAATGTGATATAACTCTTTGATTGACCATATAAAGTTTTGTACCATGTTAATATAAAATTTTACTTAGTACTAATTATACAAAATGTGTGCTCGAAACAGTAAATCTTATATTTTGATTAGTTGATTTCTGAGTCTGAGTACGATACGCATACTCAAAATTTTTATGAATGTAACCCCAGATATCAGTGTATTTATATAGTTCAGCATAGAACAACAATAGTACAAACAAGCACACACGCACAATCAGGAAATCCTTGGACAACAGGATCGACAACTCCTGCACAAACAAGCAAGATCGATCCTTTCTCAGCATGTAACGGACAAGTACCAAAAGGTATACTCTGAATCATATATTGTCCACATATATTATGTCCATTTAAGTTAGCAACAATTCTGGAAGTGCCGAATAGTTAAATTCACTTTTAAATTATGGACTTTGTTTCCAATTTGAGAAATGCTGGCATGAGAAGACAACTGTTAGGTAAGTGTACATGTAGCTCTAATTGTGTCATAAGTGATATTTATTTTGTTAGTTGCATGGTACCACGTTTTGGAGATCGTCCTGTATTGGCGTCTGCTATGATAACCTTTTTTGCAATTGTTAATTGACTGTGATCTATACTTTTATCCCTTCTTAATCTCCACACGTTTAGAATGCATGTTTGTTCATCTTTGACGCAGATTGAATTTTGACTGAAGATTGAAAGCTGTCATGGGAAGCACGTGCAGTCGTGAGTGTTGTACTTTATTTGAAAATAAAGTATACTTTTGGAATACCTCGTGAATGTTGTTTAATTGATTATATACCTATGACGTGGATGGGTACTTATACATCCCGCCATTGTGTTATTGTGCTATGGTCAATTTTGATTTCTTGTCTTTCATTTTTGCTTATGTACTTTGTCTATAGAGTGTCTTTATGCCATTTTGTTGTTTCTTTGTTGAAACAGTTATTTGTTTTTATAGTGATTAAGATTATAACACAATGTTGACTGCTGTACCCCAATTTTTGACGTTTTTACCTATTATGTCTGTTAGTTTTGCTCACACATTGTTGTCAATATAATGGAATTATAGGCGACTGCCATACAAGTGAGAGGTTTAGCTAGCTATAAAACCAGGTTTAATCCACCATTTTCTACATAAGGAAATGTCTGTATCAAGTCAGGAATATGACAGTTGTTTTCCATTCGTTTGATGTGTTTGAGCTTTTGATTTTGCCATTTTCCCTTGGAGTTCGGTATTTTTGTTATTTTACTTTTGTCTCCCAATAATAAATACGGATTTTAATGAAACACACATATCCTTTCTTTTTTATTATATTAACGGAGTTTGTCTCTCGTGCTTTGTGGAGGCCGTAGAAAGTTTCCCCGTGCTTGAGGTGTAATGAAATGGCGTATTTATTCTTGAGATAACTTCTCTGATGTGTGCTGCAACATTCTCAATTTAAGACAACCGGTGTAAATAAAATTTTGATAAGACACACACCATCTGTTCTTGGCCCCGTTGCTTTCTTCGTTAAATGTTTCCCTTTCAAACATTTATGGAGGGCGGGGTCAATGAACCGATATTTACACATCAGACCGTACTGGTTATCGGAACTTTGGATACACCAAACCAGGTACTTCATATGTGAGAAACAACTGACTATACGGTATGGGTTTGGCTCATTGTTGAAGCCGTACGGTGACATATAGTTGTTAACTTCTATGTCATTTGGTCTGTGGTGGAGAGTTGTCTCATTGGCAATTATACCACAATCTTCTTATTTTTATAAATATATGCCCTCAATTTTAGAATTCATTCATACACTTTTGTATTATTCAAAATCATCAGTCAAAATGTGTTCTACAAGGATCACCAGTCCTTCGCCTTTCAATTGATACCTAAATTACCAAAATATATTCTACATAGTTTGATTTTTACACCTATCCGTGCAACTTGACTCAAGCTAGCGAACAATTGTAGCGAACAATTAGCCAGCGAACAATTAGGAGGTATAACTAAAAACCACAATTTCACATAAGACAATCACGTTTTTTCGAGCTAGCGAACAATTACAGAGACCTAGCGGACAAATATGAGAATACTCAAAATATTAAACAAAAACGAATAAAAAAAATTAAAACAAAAGGGATACCATAAAGATTTTGACCAATTTATAGAGATTGTGACAGGCAACGACTGTAAAGGTAACATATTGGAGACATTATCGTATCTAATAAGACAAACTCCAGAATGGTATACGTTTAAAAATCTGAAGTTAAGTTTAAAAAAACTGAAATTGTAAAAACGAAAAGGGAGGAGGGGGCATACATTAAGTTGATTTTTGACCCATTTATAGAGATTGTGACGGTACACGACTGCATAGGTGATGCAGCTGAGACATTAGCGTATCTATTAAGACAAACTCCAGGATGATTTATGTTAAAAAAATCTGAAGTTAGGTTGAAAAAATTGTAATTAAAACCGAAAAGGGGGGATACCTTAAGTTGATTGTTGACCCATTTATAGAGATTGTGACGGGCAACGACTGCTGAGGAGACATTGGCGCAACTTTTAAGAAAATCTCCAGAGTGGTTTATGTTCGAAAATCTGAAGTTACGGTTAAAAAACTGAAATTGTGAAAGTGACAAAATGAGATTAGGGGGGTAGGGCACTAAAACAAAATTTTGGACCAATTTGAAGAGATTGTAACGGGCAACGACTATATAGGTTTTGTAGAGGGGACATTGGCGCAACGTGTAAGAAAATCTCCAGAGTGGTTTATGTTCGAAAATCTGAAGTTACGGTTAAAAAACTGAAATTGTGAAATTGACAAAATGAGATTAAGGGGGTAGGCTAATTTAAGTTAATTTTGGACCATTTTAAAGACATTGTGACGGGTAAAGACTATATAGGTGTTGTAGAGGAGATATTGGCGCATCGTTTAAGAAAATCTCCAGAGTGGTCTATGTTCGAAAATCTGAAGTTACGGTTAAAAAACTGAAAATGTGAAATTGACAAAATGAAATTAGGGGGTAGGCCAATTTAAGTTAATTTTGGACCAATTTAAGAGATTTTGACGGGAAACGACTATATAGGTGTTGTAGAGGAGACATTGGCGCATCGTTTATGAAAATATTCAGAGTGGTTTATGTTCGAAAATCTGAAGTTACGGTTAAAAAACTGAAAATTTTGTTGTGAAATTGACAAAATGAGTTTAGGGGGGTAGGGCACTAAAAGAAAAATTTGGACCATTTTAAAGAGATTGTGACGGGCAACGACTATATAGGTGTTGTAGAGGAGACATTGGCGCATCGTTTAAGAAAATCTCCAGAGAGGTTTATGTCGAAAATCTGAAGTTACGGTTAAAAAACTGAAATTGTGAAATTGACAAAATGAGATTAGGAGGGTAGGCCAATTTAATTTAATTTTGGACCGATTTAAAGAGATTGTGACGGGCAACGACTATTTGGTAGTGTAGAGAAGACAGTGGCGCATCGTTTAGGAAAATCTCCAGAGTGGTTTATGTTCGAAAATCTGAAGTTACGGTTAAAAAACTGAAATTGTGAAATTGACAAAATGAGATTGGGGGTTAGGCCAATGAAAGTTAATTTTGGACCTATTTCAAGAGATTGTGACGGGCAACGACTATATAGGTGTTGTAGAGGAGACATTGGCGCATCGTTTAAGAAAATCTCCAGAGTGGTCTATGTTCGAAAATCTGAAGTTACGGTTAAAAAACTGAAAATGTGAAATTGACAAAATGAAATTAGCGGGTAGGCCAATTTAAGTTAATTTTGGACCAATTTAAGAGATTTTGACGGGCAACGACTATATAGGTGTTGTAGAGGAGACATTGGCACATCGTTTAAGAAAATATGCAGAGTGGTTTATGTTCGAAAATCTGAAGTTACGGTTAAAAAACTGAAAATTTTATTGTGAAATTGACAAAATGAGTTTAGGGGGGTAGGGCACTAAAAGAAAAATTTGGACCATTTTAAAGAGATTGTGACGGGCAACGACTATATAGGTGTTGTAGAGGAGACATTGGCGCATCGTTTAAGAAAATCTCCAGAGTGGTTTATGTTCGAAAATCTGAAGTTACGGTTAAAAAACTGAAATTGTGAAATTGACAAAATGAGATTAGGAGGGTAGGCCAATTTAATTTAATTTTGGACCAATTTAAAGAGATTGTGACGGACAACGACTATATAGGTAATGTAGAGGAGACATTGGCGCATCGTTTAGGAAAATCTCTAGAGTGGTTTATGTTCGAAAATCTGAAGTTACGGTTAAAAAACTGAAATTGTGAAATTGACAAAATGAGATTGGGGGTTAGGCCAATTAAAGTTAATTTTGGACCTATTTCAAGAGATTGTGACGGGCAACGACTATATAGGTGTTGTAGAGAAGACATTGGCGCATCGTTTAGGAAGATCTCCAGAGTGGTTTATGTTCGAAAATCTGAAGTTACGGCTAAAAAACTGTAATTGTGAAATTGACAAAATGAGATGGGGGGTAGGCCAACTTTAGTTAATTTTGGACCATTTTCAAGAGATTCTGACGGGCAACGACTATATAGGTGTTGTAGAGGAGACATTGGCGCATCGTTTAAGAAAATCTCCAGAGTGGTCTATGTTCGAAAATCTGAAGTTACGGTTAAAAAACTGAAATTGTGAAATTGACAAAATGAGATTAGGGGGGGTAGGCCAATTTAAGTTAATTTTGGACCAATTTAAGAGATTTTCACGGGCAACGACTATATAGGTGTTGTAGAGGAGACATTGGCGCATCGTTTAAGAAAATCTCCAGAGAGGTTTATGTCGAAAATCTGAAGTTACGGTTAAAAAACTGAAATTGTGAAATTGACAAAATGAGATTAGGAGGGTAGGCCAATTTAATTTAATTTTGGACCGATTTAAAGAGATTGTGACGGGCAACGACTATTTGGTAATGTAGAGAAGACAGTGGCGCATCGTTTAGGAAAATCTCCAGAGTGGTTTATGTTCGAAAATCTGAAGTTACGGTTAAAAAACTGAAATTGTGAAATTGACAAAATGAGATTGGGGGTTAGGCCAATGAAAGTTAATTTTGGACCTATTTCAAGAGATTGTGACGGGCAACGACTATATAGGTGTTGTAGAGGAGACATTGGCGCATCGTTTAAGAAAATCTCCAGAGTGGTCTATGTTCGAAAATCTGAAGTTACGGTTAAAAAACTGAAAATGTGAAATTGACAAAATGAAATTAGGGGGTAGGCCAATTTAAGTTAATTTTGGACCAATTTAAGAGATTTTGACGGGCAACGACTATATAGGTGTTGTAGAGGAGACATTGGCACATCGTTTAAGAAAATATGCAGAGTGGTTTATGTTCGAAAATCTGAAGTTACGGTTAAAAAACTGAAAATTTTATTGTGAAATTGACAAAATGAGTTTAGGGGGGTAGGGCACTAAAAGAAAAATTTGGACCATTTTAAAGAGATTGTGACGGGCAACGACTATATAGGTGTTGTAGAGGAGACATTGGCGCATCGTTTAAGAAAATCTCCAGAGTGGTTTATATTTGAAAATCTGAAGTTACGGTTAAAAAATTGAAATTGTGAAAGTGACAAAATGAGATTAGGGGGGTAGGCTAATTTAAGTTAATTTTGGACCATTTTAAAGACATTGTGACGGGTAAAGACTATATAGGTGTTGTAGAGGAGATATTGGCGCATCGTTTAAGAAAATCTCCAGAGTGGTCTATGTTCGAAAATCTGAAGTTACGGTTAAAAAACTGAAAATGTGAAATTGACAAAATGAAATTAGGGGGTAGGCCAATTTAAGTTAATTTTGGACCAATTTAAGAGATTTTGACGGGCAACGACTATATAGGTGTTGTAGAGGAGACATTGGCGCATCGTTTAAGAAAATATTCAGAGTGGTTTATGTTCGAAAATCTGAAGTTACGGTTAAAAAACTGAAAATTTTATTGTGAAATTGACAAAATGAGTTTAGGGGGTAGGGCACTAAAAGAAAAATTTGGACCATTTTAAAGAGATTGTGACTGGCAACGACTATATAGGTGTTGTAGAGGAGACATTGGCGCATCGTTTAAGAAAATCTCCAGAGAGGTTTATGTTCGAAAATCTGAAGTTACGGTTAAAAAACTGAAATTGTGAAATTGACAAAATGAGATTAGGAGGGTAGGCCAATTTAATTTAATTTTGGACCAATTTAAAGAGATTGTGACGGGCAACGACTATATAGGTAATGTAGAGAAGACAGTGGCGCATCGTTTAGGAAAATCTCCAGAGTGGTTTATGTTCGAAAATCTGAAGTTACGGTTAAAAAACTGAAATTGTGAAATTGACAAAATGAGATTGGGGGTTAGGCCAATGAAAGTTAATTTTGGACCTATTTCAAGAGATTGTGACGGACAACGACTATATAGGTGTTGTAGAGGAGACATTGGCGCATCGTTTAAGAAAATCTCCAGAGTGGTCTATGTTCGAAAATCTGAAGTTACGGTTAAAAAACTGAAAATGTGAAATTGACAAAATGAAATTAGGGGGTAGGCCAATTTAAGTTAATTTTGGACCAATTTAAGAGATTTTGACGGGCAACGACTATATAGGTGTTGTAGAGGAGACATTGGCGCATCGTTTAAGAAAATATTCAGAGTGGTTTATGTTCGAAAATCTGAAGTTACGGTTAAAAAACTGAAAATTTTATTGTGAAATTGACAAAATGAGTTTAGGGGGGTAGGGCACTAAAAGAAAAATTTGGACCATTTTAAAGAGATTGTGACGGGCAACGACTATATAGGTGTTGTAGAGGAGACATTGGCGCATCGTTTAAGAAAATCTCCAGAGTGGTTTATGTTCGAAAATCTGAAGTTACGGTTAAAAAACTGAAATTGTGAAATTGACAAAATGAGATTAGGAGGGTAGGCCAATTTAATTTAATTTTGGACCAATTTAAAGAGATTGCGACGGGCAACGACTATATAGGTAATGTAGAGGAGACATTGGCGCATCCTTTAGGAAAATCTCTAGAGTGGTTTATGTTCGAAAATCTGAAGTTACGGTTAAAAAACTGAAATTGTGAAATTGACAAAATGAGATTGGGGGTTAGGCCAATGAAAGTTAATTTTGGACCTATTTCAAGAGATTGTGACGGGCAACGACTATATAGGTGTTGTAGAGAAGACATTGGCGCATCGTTTAGGAAGATCTCCAGAGTGGTTTATGTTCGAAAATCTGAAGTTACGGCTAAAAAACTGTAATTGTGAAATTGACAAAATGAGATGGGGGGTAGGCCAACTTTAGTTAATTTTGGACCATTTTCAAGAGATTCTGACGGGCAACGACTATATAGGTGTTGTAGAGGAGATATTGGCGCATCGTTTAAGAAAATCTCCAGAGTGGTCTATGTTCGAAAATCTGAAGTTACGGTTAAAAAACTGAAATTGTGAAATTGACAAAATGAGATTAGGGGGGTAGGCCAATTTAAGTTAATTTTGGACCAATTTAAGAGATTTTCACGGGCAACGACTATATAGGTGTTGTAGAGGAGACATTGGCGCATCGTTTAAGAAAATCTCCAGAGTGGTTTATGTTCGAAAATCTGAAGTTACGGTTAAAAAACTGAAAATTTTATTGTGAAATTGACGAAATGAGTTTAGGGGGGTAGGGCACTAAAAGAAAAATTTGGACCATTTTAAAGAGATTGTGACGGGCAACGACTATATAGGTGTTGTAGAGGAGACATTGGCGTATCGTTGAAGAAAATCTCCAGAGTGGTTTATGTTCGAAAATCTGAAGTTACGGTTAAAAAACTGAAATTGTGAAATTGACAAAAAGAGATTAGGGGGGTAGGCCAATTTAATTTAATTTTGGACCAATTTCAAGAGATTGTGACGGGCAACGACTATATAGGTGATGTAGAGGAGACATTGGTGCATCGTTTAAGAAAATGTACAGAGTGGTTTATGTTCGAAAATCTGAAGTTACGGTTAAAAAACTGAAAATTTATTGTGAATTTGACAAAATTAGATTAGGGGGGTAGGGCACTAAAACAAAAATTTGGACCATTTTAAAGAGATTGTGACGGGCAACGACTATATAGGTGTTGTAGAGGAGACATTGGCGCATCGTTTAAGAAAATCTCCAGAGAGGTTTATGTTCGAAAATCTGAAGTTACGGTTAAAAAACTGAAATTGTGAAATTGACAAAATGATATTAGGGGGGTAGGCCAATTTAAGTTAATTTTGGACCAATTTCAAGAGATTGTGACGGGCAACGACTATGTAGGTGTTGTAGAGGAGACTATGGCGCATCGTTTTAGAAAATCTTCAGAGTGGTTTATGTTCGAAAATCTGAAGTTACGGTTAAAAAACTGAATATTTTATTGTGAAATTGACAAAATGAAATTATGGGGGTAGGGCACGAAAAGAAAAAATTGGATCATTTTAAAGAGATTGTGACGGGCAACGACTATATAGGCGTTGTAGAGGAGACATTGGCGCATTGTTTAAGAAAATCTCCAGAGTGGTTTATGTTCGAAAATCTGAAGTTACGGTTAAAAAACTGAAATTGACAAAATGAGATTAGGGGGTTGGCCAATTTAAGTTAATTTTGGACCAATTTCAAGAGATTGTGACGGGCAACGACTATATAGGTGTTGTAGAGGAGACAATGGCGCATCGTTTAAGAAAATCTCCAGAGCGATTTATGTTTGAAAATCTGAAGTTACGGTTAAAAAACTGAAAATGTGAAATTGACAAAACGAGATTAGGGGGGTAGGCCAATTTAAGTTAATTTTGGACCAATTTCAAGAGATTGTGACGGGCAACGATTATATAGGTGCTGTAGAGGATACATTGGCGCATCGTTTAGGAAAATCTCCAGAGTGGTTTATGTTCGAAAATCTGAAGTTACGATTAAAAAATTGAAATTGTGAAATTGAGAAAATTGAAAAAGGAGTAGGGGCATTAAGGCCCGGTTTTGGCCCAAGAAATAAAATATTTGACAACTATTTCAAATTTGCACATATTGTTTTGAAATGCATAGAGTCAGGAAATATAAATGAAAAACATAAGATTTTTTTATCTGATGACGTCACAATTACGTCAAAATATGTACCGTTTTCATGAAAATGATGAAAAATACAGAATTTATGCAGTTTTCCATTGTTATTTCCATTGTGGAAACATCGTGCGCAGCCAAGAAACAACAAAATTATTTAAGAGAAGCTTTATTTTAACTATTGACATAATCTTACCAAATATAAAGTTGTTTCTTGTATGCGCGCATACTTTGCCAATCTAAAATATACCTAAAACTTGATGAAAAACTAGGAAAATTTAGAAGTTTTACAAAATATACAAGTTTCGTCATGGTTTGTTGCCATGGTAACTCGTTAAACGTGACATTTGTTTCTATTTTCTGAATACCTTGTACCTTAGTCTAGTTTTGACAAGTTAAAGTATATGTATGATAACTTTTAAATTTGCAGTAATATTTGGGCCAAATAAGGGCCTTATTGCCCCTACTCCTTTATGAAATTTTCGTTTCCGTTCTCTCACTTCAGTTTGCCTCAACCAAATGTTATGAAACTTAAACACAATGCTTATTACCACAAAACGGTCTCAACTGTATGTGGAAGTTGACTTATGCATATTTAAAATCTTGAAAAATAGACCAACACTCATGCTTAATGTTTAAAATTAATTATTTCCCAATTAATCAAAGTGACAATTTATATACCTTCAGACATTTATTGACATGTACAATATATTTCAGATCACTTGAAGTAGTATTGGCAGTAATTTTAAAGTGATCATTTGATTAAGCATTTGAATGGGCTTGATAGTGCTTTCTTTTTTCGATATCTCACTTTTTGTAGTAGTCATTCAAAATTCGTAATTTGTCTAAATAAACATATCTTTAATAAAAAAAATATCACAAAATAATAAAGAAAAAACATACGGAAACAGAAGAGGGCAAGTGGCCGAAAATGGTTTATTTATTACAAAAACAAAAATAGACATAATTTGAAAGTCACAATTATGAAATGCTTACGTTTTACCTTTTCTTTAGATTACTACGTATTCGTGAACATATACATGCAAACAAATAAATATTTTCCTCTCATTCTACGTTTAGAATTAACAATGGGAATGGAATTAAATGAGGTTTTTCTAAACATTTAATTATGTATACTTCTGTTAATATTTGAAATGTATGTTCTTATTATTTAGTTACTTTTTGTTGGGTTGCTTAATGATTGACATTTGCACTTCATTTGGTTTTATTTATACCAAATGAATACTCATTCATTTTACAATAACAATAACAATAGGTCTTGACAGATACAAGTTCTTAATTACTTCATTTAATTTAAGGATGAAAATGCAAAGGGATACTGAATTGCACATAACTATTACATCTTATTTACTTTTGTTTGAATGAGTTTGGACAGATGGGCATAAATCCTTCATTTGAAACAATTAAACTTGTTATAAAATATTGTAAGAGGAAATCTGTCACTGAAACCAATTAATCCACCTTAAAATTTGATGGTTCACACAATAAAATTATAACTTTAGAGATTTGGTAAATTGTTTTAAATGGCTTTCTATAATCATTATCATGATAATCTATCATGCGTCTCTAGATTTCAATTCATGTTTTATTAAAGGGGGGGGGGACACACACATTGAATGAAAAGTGATATTACATGTTTAATATAACATAACAAAATAACAAAACATTTAACATAAATAGTTTAAGAAAGGTCGTAATGGAATTGTAGCAAACTTTGCACACTTTTAAATGACTTTGTTAATCAACAAAAAATACTCCGGCGTTATGGTCATTATTTTGGTGTCATCCTGGTTTGCCCACTTTTAATCACATGCATATGTAAACATAGGGTGGATTGTTGTTTTAACAATTATAGTTTATTTCTGAATTATAGTCATATTTTTTACCTTTTATTTTACCTGTAAAATTTTATCAAATACTATATTATGCTATTAAATCAATGAAAATGTTCAAAATTTTTAATATAGTTTTTATCAGGAAAATGTATTGAATTTGACAATAAATAACTCAGCCCTGATAATAAGAAAAAATAATGGTTTGTCCTGCAGTAGTTTGAAAATAAATAAACTGACTTAAAATGTATTGAAAATAAATAACTCGGCAGGTCTTTTAAGCCATTTCATAAATGCTATTCTAAAGTATGAGATGGCACCAGATTCTTCCAAAATTTGATTTTTTTTCATTTTTTTAGGGAAAAACTTCCCAAATCTTAGTGTTGCTTTCCATTTGTATTTTAGTAAAAAAAAAATTTAACTTGACTTTTATTTTTTTTAAGGATTTTTTATCTAAAAAAAAAATAGCAGCTACATCCATAAAACTATATGTGAACTACATGTTTTTGCTTTCTCCTACATATTTTTCTTATTAATACGGTTGAGTTATTTATTTTCAAAATCCCCCCCCCCACCCCCCTTCCTTCCACTACAATATCAAATGGTCGTCACCGATGTTTACATATGCATGTTTAGGGCAAAACTTCCCAAATCTTTAAATAATATAATGTATAAATATTAATTTACTTGAATTAAATGTCTGAAAATGGGTTTCATTTAACTTAGGTATATTGTCTAAGGAACATTTACTTTATTCTCTTAGTGTTGCTTTCCATTTGCATACATTTTTCTATAGCTTCTTCAGGCCTTCAGCGGCCCCAAAACCCTGCACACGAAGTTTGTTTAGTTTTTTTTTATATACTTTATATTACTTTTAAAACAGGCTAGTGTCATTATTTTACATGTATGTTAAATTATTGAGAGAAAAAATATATGATTTATTTATAATGTATCTATACATTTATGAAAATGGAATTACAAAATAAAAAAATACCTGAATATATATAGAAAACACTGATAAACTATATACCTAAGTTGGAAATTACTATATAATTGTATGCTCATTAAACCTTTTGTCTTTTTTGTTTTCTTTACTAATAAATAATTGGTGTAATTAAAAGTGGGCAAACCAGGAGTAAACCCATTATTTTTCATAACAATTCTTTCAGTGGAATTTTGATAAAGTCGTGAATTTCTTCCTGAAAAGGTTCTGTTTCGTACACATCGCTATGTGTGATTTCTCGAAATTTCTACATTTTCTGCTATTTATCCGTAGCAAGTTAACTTCTCCAGCTAAAATTTTACCGCTGGTAAATCATTTGTTATTTGTCTCATAATTGTTAAATTCATATAATGGCACTCATACATATAAGTTTTATAATATAAAGAATCAATTTCAAATAAATTTCAAACCTTCGTTCAGTTTAATAAAGGAAATAAAATACGAAACATTCTTACACATTTTTCAAATATTCACAAATTGAACCTTATATACCCGTATATATAATGTTTTGGTGAAACACTTATATTTTCTTTCCTCCTTCATATTCAACTGACTTGCCGATTGCAGCCCGCAACCAACAGTCCGCTCCGGTATCACTTGGTCCAACTCTTTATTGGAATGATTGAAATCTACATTGTAATCACAAGTCAATTTATCTACAAAACTACTTTTGAAATACCAAATGGTTCTTTTTTCAAATCTTGATTTTCATCCTTATGATACTTTACTTCAGAACTTGTTCCTGTATTGTTATGAATTTGAGTTAATGGCCAATTTCTTAGTGAAGATTCGTCTAAATTCCAATTAATAGATACATTTAATAACGCTTACCGTTACCTTGATGGCATTTTTGCTTCAAATAATAAAGAATTCCCTAATCATACTGCTGAAATTTACCCCAGAGAACTTACTTTAAATAAAAGTAATACTTGTATAAACAGCAATACTTTTGCTTTTTGCAGATTTTGACATATGATTACATTTCAGTTTCATACGAAAAAAATCGTAAGGGTTCCGTGGAACCCAGTGTCTCGCCTACTTTTGCTGTTAGTCGCAGGCTCAACAAAAATGGGGAAATAATTATTACAAATTTTCCTCTAGATACTATCTTTTGATTGTAAGAAGCTTCTGTTCAAGTTTGAAAGGAATCCAGGATGGTTTATGAATCTAATAAATGTTTTAAAAACATTAACTGCAGACTGTATGTAATGTTAACTGGAAGAAAAACTAAGTCCATTTATAAGTATTATACGGAAAAACAGGAAATTTCTTTTTACAAAATTTCCTTCTAGATACTAGCTTTTGATCATAAACAAGCTTCTGTCCAAGTTTGGTACAAATACAGGATAATTTAAGAAAGTTATTAAAAGTTTGAAAACTTTAACCACAGAGTGAATGTAATGTTTCCTGGCAGAAAAACTAAGTCCAGTTACATGTATGAGTAAAATACGGATAAACAGGATTTATTTTTTACAAAATTTTCTTCCGGATACTATCTTATGATTATAAACAAGCTTCTGTCCAAGGTTGGTACAAATCCAGGATAGTTTAAGAAAGTTATTAAAATTTGAAAAACTTTAACCACAGAGTGAATGTAATGTTAACTGGCAGAAAAACTAAGTCCATTTATGAGTAAAATACGGATAAACAGGATTTGTTTTTACAAAATTTACTTCTGGGTTCTATCTTATGATCATAAACAAGCTTCTGTCCAAGTTTATTAGAAACCCAGGATAGTTTAAGAAAGTTATTAAAATTTCAAAAACTTTAACAACAGAGTGAATATTTGTGGACGCCGCCGACGACGCCGGACGACGACGACGACAACGCCGACGACGGAATGTAGGATCGCTATGTCTCGCTTTTGCGACAAAAGTCTCAGGCTCGACAAAAATCAAAAGAAAACTTCACGACGACAAAATAGACGATTTTGTGCCCTGGATCGTTTTAAAGCGTGAATTGATCGGTCTTTTTCGAGTGTTATCATGTTTTTTTCGTGTGAATATGGTGTAAAATGTTTACAAACAGATTTCTTCTCTTTTCGTAAGACGGGAAACAAAAGTTTAAAAAAAAACGTCAAAGGTAATAACATCAATTGAAGTTATACACGTTGAATAAAAAATTATCCTTAGAATGCTCTTTTTGAATATTAAAAAATGTGTAATAAAGCCATCTGTAGGGTGTAGGTAGGTGAAATTCTAACATAAAGACCGATCTAAAATTGATACTTTAACTCAGAAGAGCATAAATTTATGGAACAAAATAACATTTGGTTGAGACAAATTGGAGTTAAAGAGAACGGAAATGAAAATTTTAGCAATTTTTCTATTTGTAAAGGAGTATAACTCTAGAACGGTAAAAGTGACGCCACCAAAATTAAAATTTGATCTGTGTTTTGTGGTAATAAGCATCGTTTGTTGATGTGGTTCATAAGTGTTTCTCGTTTCTCGTTTTTATACAGATTAGACCGTTGGTTTTCCCGTTTGAATGGTTTTACACTAGTAATTTTTGGGGCCCTTTATAGCTTGCTGTTCGGTGTGAGCTAAGGCTCCATGTTGAAGACCGTACTTTGACCTATAATTGTTTACTTTTATAAATTTTGACTTGGATGGAGAGTTGTCTCATTTGGCACTCATACCACATCTTCTTATATCTATATATTGTGTATAAGTTTTATGACAATTGGTTGAGGCAAACTAATTTATAAAAGTTAGAGAACGGAAACCAATTTTGGGACGTACGGACACAGGGACGTTCAGACGGACAAGGGTAAAGTTTAATGCCCCTCTGCTACGGCGGGGGCATAATAAGCTAAAAAATATTGATAGGTTTTCGAGTTCCTTTTTGTGATATATGATTTTTTTTTAAATGGGGCGAAAAGGATGACTCGGACTTTTACATTAAATTTAGCATTGACATTATTTGGGACATACGGATGCACGGACGTACAGACGGACAAGGGTAAAGTTTAATGCCCCTCCGCTACGGCGGGGGCATAATAAGCTAAAAAAATTTGATAGGTTATCGAGTTCCTTTTTGTGATATATGATTTTTTTTTTAAATGGGGGAAAAGGATGACTCGGACTTTTACATTATATTTAGCATTGGCATTATTTGGGACATACGGATGCACGGACGTACAGACGGACAAGGGTAAAGTTTAATGCCCCTTCGCTACGGCGGGGGCATTATAAGCTAAAAAAAAATGATAGGTTATCGAGTCCCTTTTTGTGATATATGATTTTTTTTTAAATGGGGGGAAAAGGATGACTCGGACTTTTACATTATATTTAGCATTGACATTATTTGGGACGTACGAATGCACGGACGTACAGACGGACAAGGGTAAAGCTTAATGCCCCTCCGCTACGGCGGGGCATAATAAGCTAAAAATATTGATAGGTTATAGAATTCCTTTTTTTGATATATGTTTTTTTAAATGGGGGGAAAAGGATGACTTGGACTTTTACCTTATATTTAGCATTGGCATTATTTGGGACGCACAGACGCACGGACGTACGGACGTACAAGGGTAAATCTTAATGCCCCTCCGATACGGCGGGGGCATAATAACCTAAAAATATTGATAGGTTATAGAATTCCTTTTTGTGATATTTTTTCACTAGAATTATTTCACACGCGAGTAAATGTAAATATATTTATTTTCTAAAAAAATATAAGTTCGATATCGCACAGCTAATTCTTCTAAAATCTTGAAACAACAGATTAACATAAAAGTTGACAAACATTAAAATTGGAACACGTGCAACCTAGTTCACGAGAAAGATAATAAACCGTTATTAGCTACCACAGACGAACATCTATAAACTCTTGCCATAAACTTGCGTATCGTCCCCATAACATTTATGAATTTGACAGATGCTGAGTTCGGACAGAGAAAACAATAAACATTGATATAAACATCTATTAAAATTTTAAATTTAAATCAAAGTAAATCAAATTAAATTTCGTTTTTGTATTACTGTTCTCTCATATTTTCCATTATTTTGTGAAAAAAAAAATGAAATTGTCTCAGCCAAATAATTTGACAAAGTTTATCAGAAGTTTAGCTATTACCCTATTATACTCAACGAAGCTCGGCGATAAATGTACGTTCACCCGTTAGAACGTTTAACGACCGTTGACTCGTCGAAAAAAGGGAAGGGGTGTGGTTTGGTCATTCAACAAGATAATTCCAAAGCTTTCAGACAAATTACTTCTTTATTTCAGCAATCACTTCTATTTTATTAGTAAAATAAAATTAATAGGACTATATTATATTTCTTTCCATTTTTGGGATCAATTATGTTGTGTGCAGTATACAAATATGTAATAATGTGCACGTTTACAATCATCCATGTTTTATGTGGATGGCGAAGGAGTTGACAGAAAGAGATATGTAAAAAGAATATAAAATGACATTGTCAAAGTTTTAGGACCCTGTCATTTCAATATAAAAAATTACTTACTTCATTGTCGTGTTTGTGGACTACCGACTCAAGAGAATGTTGATTTCAAACGTGTGTTGTAAACGGTAAAATTGAGAATGGAAATGGGGAATGTGTCAAAGAGACAACAACCCGACCATAGAGCAGACAACAGCCGAAGGCCACCAATGGGTCTTCAATGCAGCGAGAAACTCCCGCATCCGGAGGGTCCTTCAGCTGGCCCCTTAACAAATATGTATACTAGTTCAGTGATCATGGATGCCATACTAAACTCCAAATTATACACAAGAAACTAAAATTAAAAATGATACAAGACTAACAAAGGCCAGAGGCTCCTGACTTTGGACAGGCGCACAAAATGCGGCGGGGTTAAACATGTTTTTTGATATAAACATCTATTAAAATTTTAAATATACATAAATTTCGCGGGAAAAATATTGATGTACTTTTTTATACAAGTATAAAAAGTAACATCATTCCATTATACAAGGTAACCCCCCCCCCCTATTTTTTTTTAACCTAACTTCAGATTTCCAAACATAAACGATTCTGGAGTTTTTCTAAATAAATACGCCATTGTCTTCTCTAATGTCTCCTCTACGTGATATATACAAACGTTGCCCGTCACAATCTCTATGAATTGGTCTTCAATCATCTTAAGGTACGCCATCCCTCGTTTTTACAATTTCAGTTTTTTAACCGTAACTTCAGATTTTCGAACATAAACCACTTTGGAGATTTTCTTAAATGATGCGCCAATGTCTCCTCTACAACACCTATATAGTCGTTGTCCGTCACAATCTCTTGAAATTGGTCCAAATTTTTCGTTTAGTGCCCTACCCCCCCCCCCCCCCCCCTAATCTCATTTTGTCAATTTCACAATAAAATTTTCATTTTTTTAACCGTAACTTCGGATTTTCGAACATAAACCACTCTAGAGATTTTCTTAAACGATGCGCCATTGTCTCCTCAACAACACCTATATAGTCGTTGCCCGTCACAATCTCTTGAAATTGGTCCAAAATTAACTTAAATTGGCCTACCCCCCTAATCTTATTTTACCATTTTCACAATTTCAGTTTTTTAACCGTAACTTCAAATTTTCTAACATAAACCACTCTTGAGATTTTCCTAAACGATGCGGCAATGTCTCCTCTACAACACCTGTATAGTCGTTGCCCGTCACAATCTCTTAAAATGGTCCAAATTTTTCTTTTAGTGCCCTACCCCCTTATCTCATTTTGTCAATTACACAATAACATTTTCAGGTTTTTAACCGTAACTTCAGATTTTCGAACATAAACCACTCTGGAGATTTTCTTTAACGATGCGCCAATGTCTCGTCTACAATACCTATATAGTCGTTGCCCGTCACAATCTCTTTAAAATGGTCCAAATTTTTCTTTTAGTGCCCTACCCCCTAATCTAATTTTGTCAATTTCACAATAAAATTTTAAGTTTTTTAACCGTAACTTCAGATTTTCGAACATAAACCACTCTTGAGATTTTCTTAAACGATGCGCCAATGTCTCCTCTACAACAGCTATATAGTCGTTGCCCGTCACAATCTCTTTAAAATGGTCCAAATTTTTCTTTTAGTGCCCTACCCCCTAATCTCATTTTGTCAATTTCAGAATAAAATTTTCAGATTTTTAACCGTAACTTCAGATTTTCGAACATAAACCACTCTGGAGATTTCCTTAAACGATGCGCCATTGTCTCCTCTACAACACCTATATAGTCGTTGCTCGTCACAATCTCTTGAAATTGATCCAAAATTAACTTAAATTGGCCTACCCCCTAATCTCATTTTGTCAATTTCACAATTTCAGTTTTTTAACTATAACTTAAGATTTTCGAACATAAACCACTCTGGAGATTTTCTTCAACGATGCGCCATTGTCTCTTCTACAACACCTATATAGTCGTTGCCCGTCACAATTTCTTGAAATTGGTCCAAAATTAACTTAAATTGGTCTACCCCCCTAATCTCATTTTGTCAATTTCACAATTTCATTTTTTTAACCGCAACTTCAGATTTTCGAACATAAACCACTCTGGAGATTTTCTTAAACGATGCGCCAATGTCTCCTCTACAACACCTATATAGTCGTTGCCCGTCACAACCTCTTTAAAATGGTCCAAATTTTTCTTTTAGTGCCCTACCCCCTCATCTCATTTTGTAAATTTCACAATAAAATTTTCAGATTTTTAACCGTAACTTCAGATTTTCGAACATAAACCACTCTGCAGATTTTCTTAAACGATGCGCCCATGTCTCCTTTACAACACCTATATAGTCGTTGCCCGTCACAATCTCTTGAAATTGGTCCAAAATTAACTTAAATTGGCCTACCCCCCTAATCTCATTTTGTCAATTTCACAATTTCATTTTTTTAACCGTAACTTCAGATTTTCGAACATAAACCACTCTGGAGATTTTCTTAAACGATGCGCCAATGTCTCCTCTACAACACCTATATAGTCGTTACCAGTCACAATCTCTTTAAAATGGTCCAAATTTTTCTTTTAGTGCCCTACCCCCCTAATCTCATTTTGTCAATTTCACAATAAAATTTAAAGTTTTTTAACCGTAACTTCAGATTTTCGAACATAAACCACTCTGGAGATTTTCTTAAACGATGCGCCATTGTCTCCACTACAACACCTATATAGTCGTTACCCGTCACAATCTCTTTAAAATGGTCCAAATTTTTCTTTTAGTGCCCTACCCCCTAATCTCATTTTGTCAATTTCACAATAAAATTTTCAGTTTTTTAACCGTAACTTCAGATTTTCGAACATAAACCACTCTGGAGATTTTCTTAAACGATGCGCCAATGTCTCCTCTATAACACCTATATAGTCGTTGCCCGTCACAATCTCTTTAAAAGAGTCCAAATGTTTCTTTTAGTGCCCTACCCCCCTAATCTAATTTTGTCAATTTCACAATAAAATTTTCAGATTTTTAACCGTTACTTCAGATTTTCGAACATAAACCACTCTGGAGATTTTCTTAAACGATGCGCCAATGTGTCTTCTACAACACCTATATAGTCGTTGCCCGTCACAATTTCTTTAAAATGGTTTAATTTTTTCTTTTAGTGCCCTACCCCCCTAATCTCATTTTGTCAATTTCACAATAAAATTTCAGTTTTTTAACCGTAACTTCAGATTTTCGAACATAAACCACTCTGGAGATTTTCTTAAACGATGCGCCAATGTCTCTTCTACAACACCTATATAGTCGTTGCCCGTCACAATCTCTTAAAAGTGGACCAAATATTTCTTTTAGTGCCCTACCCCCCTAATCTAATTTTGTCAATTTCACAATAAAATTTTAAGTTTTTTAACCGTAACCTCAGATTTTCGAAAATAAACCACTCTTGAGATTTTCTTAAAACGATGCGCCATTGTCTCCTCTACAACACCTATATAGTCGTTGCCCGTCACAATTTCTTGAAATTGGTCCAAAATTAACTTAAATTGGCCTACCCCCCTAATCTCGTTTTGTCAATTTCACAATTTCAGTTTTTTAACCGTAACTTCAGATTTTCGAACATAAACCACTCTGGAGATTTTCTTAAACGATGCGCCAATGTCTCCTCTACAACACCTATATAGTCGTTTCTCGTCACAATCTCTTTAAAATGGTCCATTTTTTTCTTTTAGTGCCTTACCCCCCTAATCTCATTTTGTCAATTTCACAATAAAATTTTCAGTTTTTTAACCGTAACTTCAGATTTTCGAACATAAACCACTCTGGAGATTTTCTTAAACGATGCGCCAATGTCTCCTCTACAACACCTATATAGTCGTTGCCCGTCACAATCTCTTTGAAATGGTCCAAATTTTTCTTTTAGTGCCCTACCCCCTCAACTCATTTTGTCAATTTCACAATAAAATTTTCAGTTTTTTAACCGTAACTTCAGATTTTCGAACATAAACCTCTCTGGAGATTTTTTTCTTAAACGATTCGCCAATGTCTCCTCTACAACACCTATATAGTCGTTGCCCGTCACAATTTCTTGAAATTGGTCCAAAATTAACTTAAATTGGCCTACCCCCCTAATCTCGTTTTGTCAATTTCACAATTTCAGTTTTTTAACCGTAACTTCAGATTTTCGAACATAAACCACTCTGGAGATTTTCTTAAACGATGCGCCAATGTCTCCTCTACAACACCTATATAGTCGTTTCTCGTCACAATCTCTTTAAAATGGTCCATTTTTTTCTTTTAGTGCCTTACCCCCCTAATCTCATTTTGTCAATTTCACAATAAAATTTTCAGTTTTTTAACCGTAACTTCAGATTTTCGAACATAAACCACTCTGGAGATTTTCTTAAACGATGCGCCAATGTCTCCTCTACAACACCTATATAGTCGTTGCCCGTCACAATCTCTTTGAAATGGTCCAAATTTTTCTTTTAGTGCCCTACCCCCTCAACTCATTTTGTCAATTTCACAATAAAATTTTCAGTTTTTTAACCGTAACTTCAGATTTTCGAACATAAACCACTCTGCAGATTTTCTTAAACGATGCGCCCATGTCTCCTTTACAACACCTATATAGTCGTTGCCCGTCACAATCTCTTGAAATTGGTCCAAAATTAACTTAAATTGGCCTACCCCCCTAATCTCATTTTGTCAATTTCACAATTTCATTTTTTTAACCGTAACTTCAGATTTTCGAACATAAACCACTCTGGAGATTTTCTTAAACGATGCGCCAATGTCTCCTCTACAACACCTATATAGTCGTTACCAGTCACAATCTCTTTAAAATGGTCCAAATTTTTCTTTTAGTGCCCTACCCCCCTAATCTCATTTTGTCAATTTCACAATAAAATTTAAAGTTTTTTAACCGTAACTTCAGATTTTCGAACATAAACCACTCTGGAGATTTTCTTAAACGATGCGCCATTGTCTCCACTACAACACCTATATAGTCGTTACCCGTCACAATCTCTTTAAAATGGTCCAAATTTTTCTTTTAGTGCCCTACCCCCTAATCTCATTTTGTCAATTTCACAATAAAATTTTCAGTTTTTTAACCGTAACTTCAGATTTTCGAACATAAACCACTCTGGAGATTTTCTTAAACGATGCGCCAATGTCTCCTCTATAACACCTATATAGTCGTTGCCCGTCACAATCTCTTTAAAAGAGTCCAATTTTTTCTTTTAGTGCCCTACCCCCCTAATCTAATTTTGTCAATTTCACAATAAAATTTTCAGATTTTTAACCGTTACTTCAGATTTTCGAACATAAACCACTCTGGAGATTTTCTTAAACGATGCGCCAATGTGTCTTCTACAACACCTATATAGTCGTTGCCCGTCACAATTTCTTTAAAATGGTTTAATTTTTTCTTTTAGTGCCCTACCCCCCTAATCTCATTTTGTCAATTTCACAATAAAATTTCAGTTTTTTAACCGTAACTTCAGATTTTCGAACATAAACCACTCTGGAGATTTTCTTAAACGATGCGCCAATGTCTCTTCTACAACACCTATATAGTCGTTGCCCGTCACAATCTCTTAAAAGTGGACCAAATATTTCTTTTAGTGCCCTACCCCCCTAATCTAATTTTGTCAATTTCACAATAAAATTTTAAGTTTTTTAACCGTAACCTCAGATTTTCGAAAATAAACCACTCTTGAGATTTTCTTAAAACGATGCGCCATTGTCTCCTCTACAACACCTATATAGTCGTTGCCCGTCACAATTTCTTGAAATTGGTCCAAAATTAACTTAAATTGGCCTACCCCCCTAATCTCGTTTTGTCAATTTCACAATTTCAGTTTTTTAACCGTAACTTCAGATTTTCGAACATAAACCACTCTGGAGATTTTCTTAAACGATGCGCCAATGTCTCCTCTACAACACCTATATAGTCGTTTCTTGTCACAATCTCTTTAAAATGGTCCATTTTTTTCTTTTAGTGCCTTACCCCCCTAATCTCATTTTGTCAATTTCACAATAAAATTTTCAGTTTTTTAACCGTAACTTCAGATTTTCGAACATAAACCACTCTGGAGATTTTCTTAAACGATGCGCCAATGTCTCCTCTACAACACCTATATAGTCGTTGCCCGTCACAATCTCTTTGAAATGGTCCAAATTTTTCTTTTAGTGCCCTACCCCCTCAACTCATTTTGTCAATTTCACAATAAAATTTTCAGTTTTTTAACCGTAACTTCAGATTTTCGAACATAAACCTCTCTGGAGATTTTTTTCTTAAACGATTCGCCAATGTCTCCTCTACAACACCTACATAGTCGTTGCCCGTCACAATTTCTTTAAATTGGTCCAAAATTTTCTTTGAGTGCCCTACCCCCCTAATCTCATTTTGTCAATTTCACAATTTCAGTTTTTTAACCTTAACTTCATATTTCGAACATAAAACTCTCTGGAGATTTTCTTAAACGATGCGCCAATGTCTCCTCAACCACACGTATATAGTCGTTGTCGGTCACAATCGCTTCAAATTGGTCCAAAAGTAACTTAAATTGGCCTACCCCCCAAATCTCATTTATTCAATTTCACAATTTCAGTTTTTTAACCGTAAGTTCAGATTTTCGAACATAAACCAATCTTGAGATTTTCTTTAACGATTCGTCAATGTCTCCTCTACAACACCTATATAGTCGCTGCCCGTCACAATCTCTATTAATTGGTCCAAAATTAACTTTGAGTGCCCAACCCCCAAATCTCATTTTGTAAATTTCAGTTTTTTAACCCTAACTTCAGATTTTCGAACAACAAGTGATCTGGATTTTTTTTCTACACGATGCGCCAATGTCTCCTCTACAACAACTATATAGTCGTTGCCCGTCACAATCTCTATAAATTGGTTCAACATTAACTTTTAGTACCCTACCCCCCTAATCTCATTTTGTCAATTTCAGTTTTTTTACCGCAACTTCAGATTTTCGAACATAAACCTCTCTGGAGATTTTCCTAAACGATGCGAAAATGTCTCCTCTAAAACACCTATATAGTCGTTGCCTGTAACAATCTATTCAAATTGTTCAAAAAATAACTTAAAATGTCCTATACCCTAATTTCATTTTATTAATTTCAGTTTTTTTCTACCACAATTTAAGATTTTCGAACATAAACCACTCTGGAGATTTTCCTAAACGATGCGGCACTATCTCCTCTTAAACACCTATATAGTCGTAACCTGTCACAATCTCTATTAATCGGACCAAACAACATAAAGTGCACCCCCATTCCCTAAAAATGCATTGTGTCAATGTGTTACCTTATGGTCATTGTAATCCAGCTGTCTATTGAATGCCTTATGTGGACTTATTTAGTTAGGAAAGAAAGGCTTTGTATTCTTTATATATGAAGTATGGTTTCCCTTTTGTTTTAAGTTAGTTTTTTCGTTTTCGTTTAAGATTGTATGTATTCTCATAATTGTTCGCTAGCTCGAAAAAACGTGATAACCTTATGTGATATTGTGGTTTTTAGTTATACCTCCTAATTGTTCGCTAGCTAATTGTTCGCTACAATTGTTCGCTAGCTTGAGTCAGGTATCCGTGCATGAACTATTTTGTTTTATATATGTTCTACTTTCCGGTACGTTCTTTTTGGTCGGGCCTGAGTTGGTGGTGTTATATCGTGTATAGTCGATCCGAATTATTTGCTCTATTTATAAGTTATTTTCTGCCAAGTTATCTAACATATATTTCGGTGTGCCCCATGGTTGCCTAAATTTTTGTATTGGTGTTGTTTTTTGTTTTTGTTTTTTTTTTTGTTTTGCACGCTTCAGTGTGATTATAACATGACAGTACATTTTAGATTCATATTACTCCATGGCTTTGTTCTTTAATTCACAGTTGTGGCGTGATCGTCAGTTTGCAAAGAACTCTGCACAAAAAGGTGCTAGATGCCGTCTTAAAAATTGCAGTGAGGTGAGAATTTTTATTCCCGTGTTGAAGGCCTCACTGTGAATATGAGATGAAGACCAGCAATAAAGCGCTGTTCCTTTGCTTTTTGTGTTTTTGGGTGTTCATATACTGATTTTTGTCGAGGATGGATACCCCAATTCCTTTCTTTTCTATTATGTTATGTAATTATAGGATATTATTTGTTTGTAGACGCTGTTGAGTTCTATCTGATACGTACAAAAGGATTTCTACCGGACTTTTCGAATTTTAAATTTATCCTATCCTCGTCTGATATACAATGGCTTGTACTATTTAATCAAGACATTGGAATTTGTCATAACATTACAGTTTACAACACCTCACAGACAATTGATGTTCCGAAGGCATTTCAAGTTAACCGAAATAAGATTGAAACAAAAGGAATATATGTTATTACTTCTTCAAGGACCAGCCTACAAGCAATATACAAGGATCCAGTTACTACTGAGGGTTATTCCGTTATTCCGAAGGGTCAACTCTCAACAGTATATATAGTACCGTCTTACATACCAAATAACGGAGAAGCCTTCGTTGGTATCGTGTCTACGACAATAAATACTAGCGTTAATATTACCCTGAAAATGCCGACGTCAGAAAAAATAATAATCAATAACACGAGATACGGAAACGGTGACGTCATCAGTATCATTTTACCTGAAAGAGGCACGTTTGAACTTTCGAGTCAAAGTGATCTGACTGGAACACTTATTGAGGCAAGCAATAATATTGGTGTGGTAACAGGAGCTGATGGGTCAAAGGTTCCAGTAAATAGCGGGTCAATGAATATGCTAATTGAGATGATTCCACCAATAACAGAATTGGGAACCGAATTCCATATTCCACCATTGTTTGAAAATATGAGATTTATCATCAGAATCATTGCAGCATTTGCAAGCACTTCAGTACGCATTGCTTACAGTAATTACTCGGGAACACAACTTTCTTCGTTAACAATTTCCATTCTGCAGTTTACCAACTATGAAATCAATATAAACTCTACAGTTAAAATTATTGCCGACAGACCTATTATGGTAGTGTACTATCAAAGTGGTGACAGTAAACCAGTCGGACCGTTAATGACAATAATGAAACCAGTAGACAATCTAGGAGATATTCACCACCTTACAGTCCCGGATGATGGAATGAGACATCATATCTTAATCACATGTAAAGCTCACCAATATCTATTCCTGATGGTGGATGGGAAAAGTGTATTATATAAAGCCCCTTATGTATATGATACACAAAATCTGAACTCAAGTTACATGGTGGCACGGATTGATGTCAGCCCCGGTGACCATACGATAGGTTCTCTTTACCCATCAATTGTGCAAGTAAATCCTGGAGTTATTTTATATGCTGATTCTGACCAATACGTAGCATACGGATATACTCTTTAAGAATATTCGATGTCATATTTATAATCAAAGTGTTTTCTCTTATTCAAATTAATCACAGATTCGCTAAAACTGACAAATTCATATATTACCTTGTGTCAAAAATAAATGTATCATAGCAGACCAGATTACAAAGGCTTTATTTAAATTGTCTTGCTTAGAAAAAAAAGTGTTCCTTATCAACAATTATTTTGATTTCTTCATGATAAAACTCTCTGACGTTAGCGGAACGTGTCATTTTTTTTAACGTTTTCGTATATATGGCATACCTTAGATTGACATACCATGCGACCAAACTATTGGAGCGACCCCTAAAAATGGATATTCTTCGCTAGCACAATACCATGGCAAAAAAATTATAACAGTAGCGGTGTGCACTACCGTAACAACTTTCGGCATTTAGCACACTTCGGAGAAAATAGCTATGACAACATTTTCGGTCGTCTCCGTTTAATTCGAAAGTAAGGCATACCTGCTAAAGACTTGCGATGCGGACAAAATATTTAAACGATCCCCCAAAAATTGCGATGGAACGCTAGCATATTACCATGGCAACAAATTAATAACACAAAAGTTGCGTTCTGCAGTAAAACTTTTCAGCATTTAGCACAAGTCGGCGAATTTATGATAAAACTCTCTGACGTTAGCGGAACGTGTCATTTTTTTGACGTTTTCGTATATATGGCATACCTTAGATTGACAGACCATGCGACCAAACTATTGGAGCGACCCCCTAAAAATGGATATTCTTCGCTAGCACAATACCATGGCAACAAATTTATAACAGTAGAGGTGTGCTCTACCGTAACAACTTTCGGCATTTAGCACAATTCGGAGAATCTATGACAAAATTTTTGATCGCTTCCGTTAAATTCGAAAGTAAGGCATACCTGCTAAAGATATTGCGATGCAGCCAAAATATTTCAGCAATCCCCCAAAAATTGCCGTGGAACGGTAGCATAATACCATGGCAAGAAATTAATAACACAAAAGTTGCGCTCTGTCGTAAAACTTTTCAGCATTTAGCAAAAGCTGGCGAATTTATGATAAAACTCTCTGACGTTAGCGGAACGTGTCATTTTTTTTAACGTTTTCGTATATATGGCATACCTTAGATTGACAAACCATGCGACCAAACTATTGGAGCGACCCCCTAAAAATGGATATTCTTCGCTAGCACAATACCATGGCAACAAATGTATAACAGTAGAGGTGTGCTCTACCGTAACAACTTTCGGCATTTAGCACAAATCCGAGAATCTATGACAAAATCTTCGATCGCTTCCGTTAAATTCGAAAGTAAGGCATACCCATTACAGAATTGCGATGCGGACAAAATAATTAAGCGAAACCCCCAAAATTGCGGTGGAACGCTAGCATAAGACCATGGCAAGATATTAATAACACAAAAGTTGCGCTCTGTCGTAAATCTTTTCAGCATTTGGCAAAAGTTGGCGAATTTATGATAAAACTCTCTGACGTTAGCGGAACGTGTCATTTTTTAAACGTTTTCGTATATATGGCATACCTTAGATTGACAGACCATGCGACCAAACTATTGGAGCGACCCCCTAAAAATGGATATTCGTCGCTAGCACAATACCATGGCAACAAATGTATAACAGTAGAGGTGTGCTCTACCGTAACAACTTTCGGCATTTAGCACAATTCGGAGAATCTATGACAAAATTTTCGGTCGCTTCCGTTATATTCGAAAGTAAGGCATACCTGCTAAAGAATTGCGATGCGGACAAAATATTTAAGCGATCTCCCAACAATTGAGGTGGAACGCTAGTACAATACCATGGTAACAAATTTATAACAGTAGAGGTGTGCTCTACCGTAACAACTTTTGGCATTTAGCACAATTCGGAGAATCTATAACAAAATTTTCGGTCGCTTCCGTTAAATTCGAAAGTAAGGCATACCTGCTAAAGAATTACGATGCGGACAAAATATTTAAGCGATCCCCCAAAAATTGCGGTGGAACACTAGCATAATACCATGGTAACAAATTAATAACACAAAAGTTGCGCTCTGCCGTAAAACTTTTCAGCATTTAGCAAAAGTCGGCGAATTTATGATAAAACTCTCTGACGTTAGCTGAACGTGTCATTTTTTAAACGTTTTCGTATATATGGCATACCTTAGATTGACAGAACATGCGACCAAACTATTGGAGCGACCCCCTAAAAATGGATATTCTTCGCTAGCACAATACCATTGCAACAAATTTATAACAGTAGAGGTGTGCTCTACCGTAACAACTTTTGGCATTTAGCACAATTCGGAGAATCTATGACAAAATTTTTGATCGCTTCCGTTAAATTCGAAAGTAAGGAATACCTGCTAAAGAATTGCGATGCGGACAAAATATTTAAGCGATCCCCCAAAAATTGCAGTGGAACGCTAGCATAATACCATGGTAACAAATTAATAACACAAAAGTTGCGCTCTGCCGTAAAACTTTTCAGCATTTAGCAAAAGTCGGCGAATTTATGATAAAACTCTCTGACGTTAGCGGAACGTGTCATTTTTTTTTAACGTTTTCGTATATATGGCATACCTTAGATTGACAGACCATGCGACCAAACTATTAGAGCGACCCCCTCAAAATGGATATTCTTCGCTAGCACAATACCATGGCAACAAATTTTTAACAGTAGAGGTGTGCTCTAACGTAACAACTTTCGGAATTTAGCACAATTCGGAGAATCTATGACAAAATTTTCGGTCGCTTCCGTTAAATTCGAAAGTAAGGCATACCTGCTAAAGAATTGCGATGCGGACAAAATATTTAAGCGATCCTCAAAAAATTGCAGTGGAATGCTAGCATAATACCATGGTAACAAATTAATAACACAAAAGTTGCGCTCTGCCGAAAAACTTCTCAGCATTTAGCAAAAGTCGGCGAATTTATGATAAAACTCTCTGACGTTAGCGGAACGTGTCATTTTTTTAACGTTTTCGTATATATGGCATACCTTAGATTGACAGACCATGCGACCAAACTATTAGAGCGACCCCCTCAAAATGGATATTCTTCGCTAGCACAATACCATGGTAACCAATTTATAACAGTAGAGGTGTACTCTACCGTAACAACTTTCGGCATTTAGCACAATTCGGAGAATCTATGACAAAATTTTCGGTCGCTTCCGTTAGATTCGAAAGTAAGGCATACCTGCTAAAGAATTGCGATGC